GCACACATAATAAACTCTTCCAGCTTTGCAATTTCTGACAGATTTTATTAAATCCTGATCCCGCCTGCAATCCCCCAGAGCCTGCTGCAAAACACTGTATTTTAATGCAAAGAATAAACACTTCTTTATAGGTGAGATTTTGTTCACTTATTTAACAGAAAGAGAACAGCAAACATGGAGATAGATTGTATACTGGAGCTAAAAAGTGAGGTAATGGTGGGAGAGTTAACAGAGGAGAGGGAAGAAGCTGCCAGACAAGCCCACTAACTTTCTTTTTTCCCATAGTACCTGCTACTTTACCCATCTGTAGATTGATGTGCAAATAGCTTCTTTATACATCAAATTATGGTGTCAACATTCATGATACTATAAGCACTGTCAGTGGTCCTGTTTAAGACAATTTGCCTGTTTCCCACTATTTATTACAATTTTTAAAATAAGCTTCAAAAGGAAACAGGTACTATCTTGGAGTCAATCACTGCTATTGTTTATTTCCCTTTTTCTAAACATGTGTCATCAGGCACTAATGCTTTTAGTCATATATATTTAAAAGTGCTGCATTTCAAATGTTTTACTGTTAAAAGGATAGTAGTTTCCATTTTAAAGCCATGATTGAGTTATTCTAAACCTCTTGAAAAGCCATACATCACACATCAGACTGATCCCAAAAAGACCATTAGACATGAGCTGTCCTTCTCATACCCGTAAATCCACTGCAGTAAATTTAAAAGTTAATGGGATTACTCCTGTGAATAAAATAAACACACAGCACTGAGGCTGTGCTCTGCTATCACAGAAAGCACACCAGGAACCATTCCAATTTACAAAATGAAGAACAGATAACTCCACAAAGCACCCTTACAAAGCATTGTGAGCAGACTGAAATGTGTCCAAACTTACCTGTTCTGCATACACATGGATAGGCATGCTAGCAGTACTTAGCTCCTACATAATTACACAAAATGCAATTGCTGTGTGAATACATGATATACAAAGACAAGATACCAGAAGCAAAGTAATGAGCAAAACGTTCAGCTCGTGTGTATTTTTACCTGAAGCATTAGTCTAATTGAAATACATTGATATGAAAATTAGAATCATTTTCACACCTGCTTCTATTAAATATACAAAAAATAAATCCCTCAAAAAGACTTCATTCACTGATTAAAGATAAACATTGTGATGTTATACCTAAATATACACTTATCCAGTGTGCCACAACACCAAAATTATATGCCAGTATGAAACAACACCAAGTAACACACTGAGAACAGGTAGGCTCATTCCAGGCTCCAGCATGATTAATCTGCAAATTAAAACCTTCCTTTATTTTTGCCTGCACCAGACCCACCCCTTTAATTGCACTCATTTATTCATTCATTCAAAATAAAAATGATACATTAGGATAAAGGAAGCTTCAAAAAAGATTGGAAGAATTACGAGGAAGAGGAATAAATGCAGAAGTCTGTAACTAAAGAATATCCTTCTAATCTTAAAACAAATACAACACATTACAAAGACTCATTTTGTCTTTCGTGCCTATTTAGGTCAATGTCATTATTTCAAACTGCATTTCTTTTATTTTCTTAACAATATACTTAATTGTTATAGCACTGTCCCATCAGCACTTACTTCTACTGAAAAGCCCTAAAATGAAATATACTATGCATTTCATGACAATTACGCAAATGTGCTGTGGAGTTACTTTGTTAGAAGCAATCAGATATAACTTGCTCCACTCTTTTAATAATTAGCCTGCATGACACTTTTTCAGGTCATCTGGGTGCCATCCAAATGAGACCTGCAAACAAATCCAAAGCCACAGGTGATGCATAACAAATAATGAACCTGGGAGGGGGGGTGTGCTGTGTGTCTTCATTCTATGTTTCATGTGAATAATTTATACAAGCCACTTCCCAAACTCTAGTACCTACAATAGGAAGACTTAAAACACACACACTTTCAAACCAAAGGAGGTACAGGAAGCCCAGTCGCATACTGCAGGGCTTGCCTCTCACACCCTGTTATCATAGGGAATTCATTTTACAGCAATGATGCACTTCCGAAATAAGGGCACTTGGAAATAGTGTAATACTTATGGTATACTCTTTGGAACATTTTCTCTGTGACTAATTTCTGCATTTGTAGAAGTAGTCAAAGCGAAGACAGAAATTTCTGGTTTTAATCAATGAACTCTGATACAGAGTTGAAAACAAAGGCTAAACCATAATTGAAAATGCATGAAATATGTTTTGCCGTTAACATATAAACTGAGATATATTATTAAAATAAAAATTTGTTTTATTTCTCTGTTAGAGGAAAACCTGAAAAAATATAAATCCATTTTCCTAATGTCTATCCTTCTATCTATAACTGAAGTTACCTATGAAGGTGACCAGGCTTATGATACATGCTGGGCACTTGATAATTCCCCAGAAAAAAATGGCAGGAGCTTTTGCAATTCAGCTGCCCTCGCAAAAAAAAGCTATTTCCACACTAAAGAGCCCAAGCACTGGGATTTTTAGCACTGAATTTACCTTCTTTTCCCTCCTCCCAGAAATCCTAACCCAGATTTTTAAAGTCCTTTCCCCTAAGTGTCCCTCCACTAGAGGGTAAAACAGAAAACCATGCACTGTGAATTGTTACCTGCATATATCTTACGCTACAAAGTCACTGTGTATTGTGGTGAGACTTTGAAAAAAATAAAGTAATGTAATACAGGGTTAAATAAAAAAGTAATTATGAGAACTTGTTATTCTTTATGCACCTACATATACGTTGCACACCTACACAGCACAGGGTATTGGCTAGTTGTTTAACCATGGTGAGTAAGATGAGGGATAATAAAACACAAAACCAAAAAAAAAAAAAATACAACTAACTTTTGAAGATACTATTAACAGGTCTAAGACGGCTACCTCCACCCAAGCAAAAGTAAAGTTCCTAACCAGCTGAATATGACAACTAACCCCAGGGGAGGATCTCTCTCCAGAGCCCAGAAGCAGCCAAACTGAGTTTTTCAAGCCCAAATTCATGACAAGTGTCAGTGGCATACAGCTAGGCAGGCAGACCAGCAACTGAGGTTTCTCATGCATTAGACTTCATGTACTGCAGGGTGAGCTGTTCCCAGAGCTGAGCGGTTCAGTAGTAATTGGCAAATGAGACATGCTGTGAGAAGCACTTGTCAAATAATGCTTGTTTACAGATAAATCTGCTAACAGCGAAGGACAGTGGTTATTGAATAAGTTCAGGTCCAGAGTCAGACCCCTCCTATCGAAAGTCTTTTAGTTTTGCATTTACTAAAGAAATAGAGAGTAACAGCAAGAAAAGTAGGGGGAGAGAGACCACAAAGCAAGTGCTCATGCTGCTCATCATTATTGTAATATTCTCCTGCAACCTCCCCATAAAGATGCCATTAAACCCGCTTGCTAGGCAGCTTCATTAATGCTTTCCAGTACTGTCTCCTATCGAGTAAATCCTATTCTAATGTTGCCTGGTCATGGGGAGAGACACCTCTATGCTCAGTCAACAGTCCCATTGACTCTTAGCACTATCCAGATTTTCCAAGAACTGGCAAAGATGACTGAGACAGGGCTTGGAGCATCTGCTGGTCTCTCAGCAGGTATCCAGAGTACACAGGACATAATCCCTTCCAGGAAACACGTAACAGGGGAAAACCCTTCAGAAGCATCTACACCACCTCCCACGGGTGAAAACCTCCAAAATCACATAGAGGCAGAAGGATTGGGCCCACCATTATCTAACCAAGGCAAAGCCACATCCACCATCCCTTGAACCAATGCACTTCCTGAGCGTTGGACAACTTCACACACAGAGGAACTGTATTTTCCCCTTCCTCTGCACTTTTTTTTTAAATAAAACTGTGATTCACATTATTCTCTCTCTCCAAAACAAATTACAGCTAGCTGATTACCTCAGGCCACATACTTGAAATTCTGGTACGGTCTTCCTATACCAGACCCTGCACACCTCCTCCCTCTAAAGGAGTTTCAGCAATAATTACGGTGCATCACCAAGCCAGCCTGCTACGAGCCGCCGGCATCCCCTTCAGATACTGAACTTCTCCATCCATTGCTTTTACACCACAGCTTGCCCACGGATCCAAAAATAATAACAAAAAAGCCCCAAGCAGTGCCCACACCACGTAGAAAGGGGAAAAAGCATAGTCCGGTTTTAAAGTCTGGAAGTACCCTGCCAGGCAAGCAGCTTGGGCATGGTCTTGGCTATTGGCTTCACAGAGATCAAACGTACCAAAAAAACCATCCCTAGCGGCCGCGCTCCGCTGCGCTGCGGGTTAAATACCGGCACCTCCGCTGCCTCCCCTCCTTTTTATACATGTATTTCAAGGCACGAAGTAAGCGCACTGCGGACGGCGCTTACAGGGCTCCCCAGCGGCAGCCGCCAACGGCCCGGTCCCACCGAGCCCCGCTCCCGCTCCGCCTGCGCGCAGCGCCGCAAACCCCCCTGCCCGTGCGAGCTCCCCTGTGCGAAGCCCTGCGGTTACAGCCGTGCACCCCGACCCGTGCGAAACCCTGCAAAACCACCCGCACGAATGTACCTGTGCAACTCCCCCTGCGCAAACCACTAGGACGCCCGGCCATACCAACCCACCCGTGCAAACGTCCTCATGCAGCGGCACCTATACAGTACTGCTGCGCCCCTTTCCACCCTCCCTCTCCCAAAAAAACCCAAACCCAAACCCAAACCACTGCAAAATCCGCCCATGCCAAGGAATCTGTGCATACACTGTGGCAGCGCTGCCGCTCCCACAGGCAGCCGCCACCCTTTCCCGGGACCCCCAACCCCATCGACCAGTATCGCCCCCTTCTCCCGGCGCGGAATCCGCCTGCCCGCGAACAGAGCCCCCTTCACCTCCTCATGGATGCTCAGTAAACTGAGCCCGAACCAGCCCACCGCCGGACAGCCCCCCTCCTCTTTGGTCTCTGCCCCGACGGTCCGGCCGCCCCGTCCCCGCTCACCCTCGCTGCCGGGGCTGGCCAGCAGACTCCGGAGCACGGCGCACAGCAGCAGCGGCAGGAGGCACGTCCAACCGGGAGCCGGCGCTCCGGCGGTGCCGGCCCAGCCGCCGGCTCCCCGCAGCCCCATCCCGCCTTCCCTCAGCACATGAGGCGGCGGCTCCCCCCCGGCGCTGCCCGCTCGGGACGGGGCGAGCTGACAGCACAGCTCCGCTACGCTCCGCTCCCGTCCAGCGCCCGACGCGACTGGGGAACCGGGGGGCGGGGATGGGGGAGGAGGCCCCGCGCCGCCTAGGAGACGCCCCCGACGGGGCGGACCCGCAGCCTCCGCCGTCGTCGTTGTCTTCTTCGCCGTCCCCGAACGGGGAACGGCGCCCGCCGCGCTTCAGGGAGCTCTGGGGCGCAGCGGGAACCACACCTGGAATGCGGCATCTCAGCCCAGACCCGCTCTGAGCGTCCCGAAGGGAATCGGGGAGCCCCGATGCTCCTCGCAACCGCCACCGGTTACGGTCCAAAAAGCTTAGCCGCCATCCCCTGTCAGCCCACTGCGATGGGGAAGCCGCGATTTCACAGAGTGGGGAAGCCTGAGAGGAAGGCTCGTCGGCGGCCAGGAAAGGAAAAGTGACAGAAACTCCATAATGGAGCCAATAGACAGATGATTTTCAGGTGTGTTTTAACCTCAGGTCACCATCAGAGCACAGCTTTAAGCCCAGCACAGACAATTAGTTTCCCAGAAGTTTTCACTGAGGTTTTTCATCCCTCAGAGCCCTACTTGTCACTCACTTCATTTAAAAACAAAAAGCCAACAACCCCAAAGCATGAGGAATTAATTCCTGGAGGTTTATTCACCCACATCAGTTCCTCCCCTGAGAAGACTACTTCCAGAGAAGCCAATGAAGACAAAAATCCAGTACTGCAGGTGCACAAGCAGCAAATCAAGGTTGACCAAAACCCTGCTCACTCACTGCTGCCTCCTCCATTTCACCCCACTGCCAAAATTTTAGCCAGTTTATTTATCTTATCAAAGCAGTAACCAAAGGCTGAGCACCAGCAAAAGCTCTCTTTCAAGGGGGCAAGGCTGAGGACCAGGGCTCCAAAGAAGCTGAAATTAAAATTACAATACCCCCAAAGCCAGTTTGAAGAGGACAAATCTTACAGGAACCGACGACAACACAGCTCTCTACGCTGCCATGGCTCATTTTTTATTCATGAGTTGCTGGACAATGTGTTTCTCTGTGTCCTTGCATCACATACAAACCTCAGCTGCTGCCAAAATGTTAACGTAGTCCTGAGCTGTACATGTATATTATTTTCAAAAGCGTTTACTCATTTTGCAAGAGAATTTTCTGCCTTAAGCTATTCAACATTTTTACTGCCACCAGGAGGACGAGGAAGGGGCTTTGCTTTACAACATGAGGTACATCAGTAATTACCAGCCAAATGAGAAGCATGGCATGAATCTGTTTACAGCAGTGCATCAGACCTTCACTATTCATATCTCTTACTGGTCTGTAGTTCAAAACACACTAAGGTTTGCCATCAGAATCCCCTGCATAAGGCTGCATGGCCAGATTCTCAGGTGGGATAAATCACAACTGAGAACTGTTTTTTTTGTGAGCTGACCCCAGCCCTGCATCAGATTCAGGACGGGAGCAGCACCATGTGGTATACTCATTTCTAAGGATTTACCATCTGTAGAAGCAGTGCTAAGTTTTACCACCCAGAAATCAGGGCAATGCAAGAAAACATCATCGGAAACAGTGCCTTGCTAGCATAGTAAAAAGGATCAGATGGCAAAGAAGCAAAATGCCAAGCTGGATAGGTCTCTCCACTGGCCAAGGGGCAAGACTGCTGTAGCTAGACAAGTCTCTTATCAGAATCTCATGTCAAACTGTTGTTTGCTCCTGATTTTCAGATGGTATTTGGCAGTCATTAACTGCTGTTTAGACTGCCAGGCTTATAATTTAGAGGCATTTCAGATAATATGTTACTGACATTTTAATTTTCTAGGAAACACTGAGGTGATCTTCATATGGTTCATAGCTATTTAAAAATAGCCACAGTCCTCTAGGTTTCATCCTAGCTGCCTTTTTTTCCTTGCAGGAAACCAGCTCTTATTTCAAGACATTTGATTTGTTCTCCATCCTGGCTGTGGCACAGGAAAAGTGTCCCTACCTCATCTCCCAGGACATTATTGAGTACTGATAAACTAAATACAGCCTTATTCTTATAAGGGTTATTCTCTTATCCCCAAATGCAGACTATTGTAACTTCATGCACTGTCTGCTGGATCCTACTTGGTGGGAGCTCAGTCTTCTACAACTCTACTAATAAGAGCAAAACCAGGAGGAATCTGCAACAAGCAATTTTCTCCTGCCTTTTGCCTTATCAGTGCGCTCAGTGGGCTCTTAAAGAGAGGACAGAAATTCTAGCAAAGTGCTGCAGCATTCCTGATAGCCTTGATGGGTAATCAAAGAGAAGTTGGATGATCTCTGCTGGGATCTCTTCCTATCTCCCACCAAAGAGTACCTCTTTTATCACTTTGAGTAAATTCACTGTAAAAATCACAAGGTGTGGGTCACAAACTATTCAGAAATCGAAACCATCTCGGACTCATGCCATTTGTACCTATATCCAGCCAATATTTTATGTTAATTTCAATTTTTTCTTCCTGCATGCCATTAATATGTTTCTGCCACTTACATTCATGCATTTTCACCTATGCAAACAGGATTACCTCTTAATCGTGACTCAGATAAGGTCTGAATTTTGTTCTTTATATCTTTTTCTCATGAGTCATTCCTATAGAGCATTAGTAATACTGTTATTATCCAAACTCCCCCAGGTTTTCCCAACATCTTCCTCATAAATGTTTGCCCAGAAGTGTAATCATACTAAAGCTGTAATAAACAACTATCTCTAAAATGCTTTTGCATATAGTGTCTGAAGCTGAAATGACATCTGCGCCTAGTGTAACTTGCCACTTCGTATCTAATTTGCTGTCAGCTATTCCACATATTTTATATATATATTTTATTATTATTTTGGTTATTTATTAAGCCAGACATCTTTTGAGTTAGTGCATTTCAGGTTATTTCACTTACATATGCAAAAGCTCATTTTCCCAAAATTATGTATTTTCTCTCCCATGTATATAGTTCCTTCATCTAATTTCTGTGTTCTGACTGGCTTCTAATTCTGCATTGCCAATTCATTTTGTTAGCATGCTGTTTATCCTATCATCAACAGGATACACTTGAACAATAAATGAGTCTATCCTTCAGATTATTTCAGGAACCAAAAACTGCCAACCAAATCCATTCCCTGTATCATTATCCTTTACTGAAGTGTAAAGTCATAATACTTATTGCATCTCCATATTCAATAGGGCCACCTTCTGAGAAAAGATTCAATTTCATCCTTTAAATTTAAGGGTAAACAGTCCCACTAAAGCTATGTCTTCATTGCATTAATGGAATAGAAGCCCCACTGTAATACAAAAAAAGTGTTTAATTAGTTAGGCATATAAGCATTTCCATTCTCCTTTGAAAAGTACTTTCAAAAGAGGTGGAGAAGATGGCACCTTTAAGGAATACCCTCTTTAAATTTATTAATTTGTGGGTTTTTTTTTTTCCCACAAACCCCTTTGAAACTGAAGAGTTACCTCCTATTCAAAAACTAAATGCATATTAAAAGCAGAAGTAACATGCGATGAGCTAAGCAGCTTTGTATAGTAGATACATTTGGATATGTACCATGAATGCAACTACAACTTTAACACAAAATGGCTGTGTTCAGTAAACACAACAGCAGCCTGTGTAGGACTGCAGAAAGTAATAATCAGAGCCCCAGAGGACAACAGCAAAATCTGTACCAAAAGCCAGCGGGGACAGGGAAGTTAAACAGTAATTGCAGGTGGGCCACCCCTTGGCCAGACGAGGTATACCAGAGATTGTGCCCCTCGGTCACTGCTGAAATCTTCACTTTTCATAGTGGAGGAACATTTTAACAAACAAACCGGTATTTACATGAATAAAACGAGCAAGTGATAAAAAAATAATTGCCTGTGCTTGTTCACAACCCAGCCTCTTGTATGGTCTCAGCACTGATTTGTCTTTTGCCACCCCCACAAAACACAGGAGCTACTGGCAGCTGTGCATTTAGGAAAATCTGCTCACTTCATTTACAGCCTGAAATTAGATCCAAAGCCATAAAAATCCATGAGAAAAACACGTGAATATTTGTTTCAGTCAGAAAAGGCTTAGAGAAAGCATGACATTTCAGCTTGGCATTTCATTTTGTAGGACTTCATCAGCAGCCCTTGGCCCTGATAACAGTTCTTCCAAAGGCCCCTGACCTGGCAGCACACTCTCCCATTTGCAAATGCTGTGTCACTACTCCTCTCTTTCTCTCACTGCCCCATAGTGATCCCATGGAGCCAGATCCCAGATGATAAAACCTCACTGCCCATCTGCAAGCAAAGGAATGGTGCCTGGCCCAGGAGCTCAGTGTATATCTCTTTACATGCCAATCTGGATTAGACTGATCAGCCAAGGCATCCAGATCAGTCACAGCCACATTTGTGAGCACCAATAGCAGCAGCAGATATAGTTGGCAGTACCTGCAGACCACCCACTACTTAGCAAACATTGAGGTGTTTCTTTGCATCACAGCAGAAGAGAGCAATAAATGGAACAAACAGAATGGCTTTGCACAGATTTATGGATACTTTCTAATGCAGAAAGTGGAGCATGGGAGAAAGTGCAAAGGCTAATTTGATTACATTTTTACTCTGTATAAATTTAATAATGGACTCACTTCAACATTTCTCATCCTAAGCTATTTACATGCACCCACTAACAGCAGTAGCTCAGCACCTCAAGCTCTTGAATCAGTCTTCCCAACCCACCCCTGTGAGGAAGAAGAGTGTTACAACTCCTGCACAGATAGACACAAAGATGTTAAAGAGCCAGATAAAAATTACCAAATTTATTATGGCTCCTCTAGATCAGGGGTAATGTTCTTAAAATACTAATGAATTTATCTTATTCTTGTATTAGAAAAAGAATCAGCAGATGTTAAGAGGAACTGGCTTATTTGCTGAAGACATTCAGTCATGAGCTTTACCTGTATAAGCTTGGGCAAGTGACTTGGGTACATTTGCAAGTACTACTAGAATGCTTGTGGAAACCTAGTCCTTGAGTAACTTGCTTGAGGTCACACAGAAGGTGTGCGGCAGACGTGAATCAAGCTCAAAAGCTATTA